TTTTTAGAATTTTAAGGGGTGGATAATTTAGAATTTTTAGAATTTTATGGAGTGGATAATTTAGAATTTTGATAATTTTATGGGGTGGATAATTTAGAATTTTCAGAATTTTTAAGCGGTGGATAATTTAGAATTTCCAGAATTTTTATGGGGTGGATAATTTAGAATTTTCATAATTTTATGGGGTGAGTAATTTACAATTTTTATAATAGTAATAGGTGGATAATTTAGAATTTGCATAATTTTATAGGGTAAATAATTTAGAATTTTTATAATTGTAATAGGTGGATAATTTAGAATTTGCATAATTTTATGGTGTAAGTAATTTAGAATTTTTATAATTTCAACAGGTGCATAGTTTAGAATTTTTATAACTTTATGGTGTGCATGATTTAAAATTTTTATAATTTTATGGTGTGAGTAATTTAGAATTTTTATAATTGTAATAGGTGCACAATATAGAATTCTTATAATTTAAACAGGTGGATATTTTAGCTTACAAGTCTCATAAAAATATTAAAAATATTTCTATTTTTATAAAATTTAATTTTCCCTAAATTTATAAAAATACTATAATAGCAATTTCAGCTTATAAGTCTCCTCATAAAAATATTTAAAATATTTCTATTTTCATAAAATTTAATTTTCTCCAAATTTACAAAAATATCATAACAGCAAATTCCCCTAAAAATCAATAACTCCAAGAAAAATGTTTCACACTAACCAAACCCCCATCCCAAAATCTTCATATCATATGCAAATATAATGACTCACAAGCAACTTCCTCAAATTATAATTCCAAAGAACGATGATATCATTTTCTTCTAACCCTCGTACAGTATAAAATAAAGAATGTGGAACTTCCTATGTATCTTATAATCTTGTACACATTTCCATATAATGATTTATGGGCCAACGTTATTAAACCAATAAAATGTAATTACGGAACATGAACATGTACGTAAACGGGAAGAGATGTACGAGTTAATAGAAAGCACTTACCAGCACTGAGAATAGTGGGCGATTAACGAGGGGATGTTGTCGAACCTGTTCTCGCTAGTTTCCAAGCTCAACTTCCCCTTGTTGGCTTGGATCAGGTAGTGTTCGATATATGGCCCTTTTCCGGGGGGCAGTCTTACCGACAGGGCCATCGTGTCGCTCTGACTCGATTGTCGAACCACGAAGTTCTGCAAAAAGATTAAATAAATTCAATTAAAATATTCAAACTTATTTGGAAAATTTTAAAAACATTACTTGAAAGTTTATCAAAAAATTTTGATTTGTAAACTAACAAATTGAAGTTGCCATTTATTATAATATTTTATTTAAACCATATACATAAATATTTAAACTCATACATGTATCACAATTCAAGTTTATAAATTTAAAAATTTTTTACTTTGACAAGTTTCACTTTCACAAATTTATTTTTAGAAATTTTTAAATTTGAAGATTGCTCCTTTTTGAATTTTAAAAATTATAAAAAATTGTACTGTTACTAAGTTCTTCATTTTCCTATATTTCACTCCGTAAAACTAAAGCCACTAGTAATTTCGTTTCAACCCCCAAAACAAAGATCACTGTATCCACCATGATTTTCATAGAATTCCACCCCCGCCTCGATACAACCCTCAAACGAACGCAACACAGAGTTTCGAGCAATCACCATCCACGTTTCGCAGCGAAGGGGTGAGTGTCTCGTCTATGGAGAAGTAATTGCGAACGACATTGTTTTTCGGCCCGTGCAATTTGCCAGGGGGTTGAAGGGGGTGTGCGACGATTAACAAAGCTGGAAAACAATGAAGCGGCGGGAAAACAATGCCACCACAATGCCACGGCTCGTTCGCAGCCGTTCTACTGATTACACTGCTCCGTGCAACCCCCTTCCAACCCCTTTCACTTGGCTCCGCGGAAAAAATACACTGTACTCCAACAAAACGTCGGTATTCTCAGACTTGTGCATTTTCTGCTGAAATTGTTGCATGTTTCGAAACTGGGGATGTGTTTTTGTTCGCTGATGTGTGAATGGGGGATGATTTTTTTTAATATTGGTTGGGGATGTTTAGAATTGTTGGATGCTGATAGATGAGAAACTTTTTTGGATGAGAATTTTTCAATTTTAAATACAACTGTAACATTTTTTATTTATGTAAAATTTATTGCAGTATTTGCAATTTTAGATTCATGCTTAAAATTGCAAAATTTATAGACTTCCTTCATTTTTGAATTATCAAATTGCAAAAATATAACTTTGTGCATTTGTGAATAATCAGACAGCAAATTTTCGAACATCCTACGGCTTCAAATTATCAAACTTTGACATTTTCATTAAATTTTGTTAATTTTCTAAATGAGTCAAGTGTTGTAAATTTTCATACCAAGGCAGATTAACATGTAGTAATCTAACGTGTAGTAAACCAGCGTGTAGTTATCTGACATGTAATAATCTAATGAGTAGTAATCTAACGCGTAGAAACCCAACGTGAAGTTATCCAACGTGAAGTAATCTAATGCGTAGAAACCCAACGCGCAGAAACCCAACGTGTAGTTATCCAACGTGTAGTAATCTAATGCGTAGAAACCCAACGTGTAGTTATCCAACGTGTAGTAATCCAACGCGTAGAAACCCAACGCGTAGAAACTCAACGTGTAGTAATCTAACGCGTAGAAACCCAACGCGTAGAAACTCAACGTGTAGTAATCTAACGCGTAGAAACTCAACGCGTAGAAATCCAACGTGTAGTTATTCAACGCATAGTAATCTAACGCGTGGAAACCCAACGTGTAGTTATCCAACGTGTAGTGATCTAACGCGTGGAAACCCAACGTGTAGTTATCCAACGTGTAGTGATCTAACGCGTAGAAACCTAATTAGACTGCAAACTTCCCAAACACCCTCCATCTCCAAATTCTCAAACTTCCATATTTTCATTAAATTTTGCAAATTTCGTAAATGAGCCTATATTGCAAATTTCCATACCAAGATTAATTAATCAGATCAAACCAAAAACCGATTACGTACAATTCTACAAAAAGAAACTACCCTAACAGTAACTTCCCTCCACAAAAAATAAACGCAGCAGTTTCGTACAAAACCGTCCCACGCGAACGTTCGCAACGTCAGAAAAACGTAGACGGTCGACTTAGGGAGGACTTTTACCAGGCAACCACGCTAACAATGCCACTTGTTATGCGTATTTCCAACCAGATCGCGGTCTGGAATGCCGCCAGAAGCTTAGGCAGTCGTATTTCGTCGGGACACCGTCCGTCGTTTGCATTTACCGCATATTAAGCCGGGGTTGCAGCTTGCCAAATGGTCGATGAGTTCGCAGATACCTTGGCCACGCTCGATCTGGCGGCCATCCGTGAACGATAGCATCGTCGTGATGGCGTAATTCGAAGGCTAATTGTCCCTGCGTGCCCTAAATGTCCCGATCACGAAAGTCTCCGCAAAATTGCTCTCAAGGGTCACAGACACCATTAACGGTTCACGTGTGTGAGGACTTTAGGTAAGGGCTTTATGAAGTCACATTATAAATGTGACTTAATGGACAGTTTATTTAGTTGTGTTAATAAGTGAAGTTCAAGGTTGAAGTAAAATATGAGGACTTTAAGTAAGAAGCTTTATGAAGTCACATTACAAATGTGACTTAATGGACAGTTTATTTAGTTGTGTTAATAAGTGAAGTTCAAGGTTGAAGTAAAATATGAGGACTTTAAGTAAGAAGCTTTATGAAGTCACTTTACAAATATGACTTAATGGACAGTTTATTTAGTTGTGTTAATAAATGAAGTTTAAGGTTGAAGTAAAATATGAGGACTTTAAGTAAGAAGCTTTATGAAGTCACATTACAAATGTGACTTAATGGACATTTTATTTAGTTGTGTTAATAAGTGAAGTTCAAGGTTGAAGTAAAATATGAGGACTTTAAGTAAGAAGCTTTATGAAGTCACATTACAAATGTGACTTAATGGACAGTTTATTTAGTTGTGTTAATAAGTGAAGTTCAAGGTTGAAGTAAAATATGAGGACTTTAAGTAAGAAGCTTTATGAAGTCACTTTACAAATGTGACTTAATGGACATTTTACTTAGTTGTGTTAATAAGTGAAGTTCAAGGTTGAAGTAAAATATGAGGACTTTAAGTAAGAAGCTTTATGAAGTCACTTTACAAATGTGACTTAATGAGCATTTTATTTAGTTGTGTTAATAAGTGAAGTTCAAGGTTGAAGTAAAATATGAGGACTTTAAGTAAGAAGCTTTATGAAGTCACTTTACAAATGTGACTTAATGGACATTTTACTTAGTTGTGTTAATAAGTGAAGTTCAAGGTTGAAGTAAAATATGAGGACTTTAAGTAAGAAGCTTTATGAAGTCACATTACAAATGTGACTTAATGGACAGTTTATTTAGTTGTGTTAATAAGTGAAGTTGATCCAAATTGTCCATTCTCCAAATACGGGGTGCATCTTGAAAATCTTTTGATTTCAATAAAATGCAAGAGAGTTGGCAGTTTTTCCTAGAAATGTACAAAGCAAAAGCGTTCGAATTGCTCGAGTAGCGTGTCAAGAAGTCGGTTCTAAAGCAGATCGATGAGAGGTTCGTGCAGGAGAACCGGGTCAAGATCCTCTCCGAATAGTATCAAGATGGAATCAGGTCTGTGAAGAAGATAAAGGCTGTAGCAGGGTCAAGAGTCTTTATCGAAAGGCTCGAAAACGAGATCAAGATAAAGGCTTATGAAAAATTAAAGACTTAGACAAGATGTAACGACAGAGATCGGGTCAAGTGTCTTTGCAACGGAGATTGATCAAGATCCACTTGAGCAGGCTCTGAACTTAATCACAACCATCAAATCAATTACTAAAATCGACGATTAAAATCCACGATTAAAATCAAGGAATAAAATCAAGGAATAAAATCAAGAAATAAAATCAAGAAATAAAATCAAGAAATAAAATCAAGGAATAAAATCATGGAATAAAATCAACGAATAAAATCAACGAATAAAATCAACGAATAAAATCAGCAAATAAAAACAACGAATAAAATCAACGAATAAAAATAGTGAATAAAATCAACGAATAAAATCAACGAATAAAATCAACGAATAAAATCAACGAATAAAATCAACGATATTAATAATTAAATTAATATTGCAACGAACTTCAAATTTGTTCTTTGATGTTTCAACAAATATTTTATTAGGAAGAAGGAATATTTTATGTGAAGGAATATGATTTGAAAACGGGGTCTTGGTAGGTGAAATCATCGCGTGAGAAAATCCAGAGCGGAAAGTGTCGGAGAATTTTCCAGGAGGCTACGCTTTTAAGCCCCTTACCAGAAAGAAAAGTTAGAGAGCCGGCCATGCTCGCAATTTTCTTACGCCTAATCGATTCGTTGGAGTGCACTCACCCCTTCCTCTTTGCCTTGCAACAAGTGGAAAGCACCGGCCCTTTGGATGCCAGGAAGGAACCAGATCGGATGAGAGCGTATAAGCCTCTCGATCAGAGTGATGTCACAGGCGACCTCGCTGCCAGAATCTTCTGTGGTGCCCGAAGATCCAGCAGAGGTGGCCGAACCTTCTGAGGATAGCGACTCCTCGCTCTGAAATTAGAAAATTCGATGTTATATTCTTTTTTAGTATAGAATATATTGAAGTACAAGGTACAGTCAAAAGATGAAGTACAAGGTCTTTATAAATTTTTGGAGAAAGGGGTTGATCTCTTTTGTGGGTTAGGTTGCCCAAATTTGGAATTTGGTTCCAAAATTTCCCAAATTCCAAATTTCCCAAATTCCACACTCCTCAAATTTCAAATTCCCCAAATTCGAAATTCCCCAAATTCCAAATTCCCCAAATTCGAAATTCCCCAAATTCCAAATACCCCAAATTCCAAATCCCCCAAATTCCAAATCCTCCAAATTCCAAATCCCCCAAATTCCAAATTCCCCAAATTCCAAATTTCCCAAATTCCAAATTCCCCAAATTCCAAATTCCTTGAATTCCAAATTCCCCAAATCCCTAAATTCCCAAATTACCCAAGTTTAAGATTGAAGCTTATTGGAGGGTGAGTATTGTAGTAATAATAATTAGGGGGTTGTCATAATTCTTCAATCACTATGCAAGGATCATAATAGCATTTTAATAAGTAAGGATTGTTGTAATACTTCAATAGCTATGGTAAGATGATAATAAAATTTTAATAATTTATTAAGGGTTGTAATGATATTTTCTGAACGAAGGAGGGTGAATTGTAATAACATTTTGAGAGGAGAGAATGGGTCGCAATATTATTCTAACAATTATGGGTGGTTTGTAATAATATTTCAATAATGACGAGTAATATCTGAACAATTAAGTGGTTGTTTACAATGTCACTTCATAAATCATTAACCACAATATTTCAATACCATGTTGCTCACAATAATCCATTTCTTTATAACAAGAAAAATGTCACAATTAAAATTCTGAATATTTTTAATTTTATCCAAGCTACATCTTCACCCCAAATTTTTCAACCCCATCTTTAAAATTCAATTAACAAATTCCCTTAAAAATATTTCAAAGATATTTTAATCTCCATAATTTATACTCTATAAACCATAAAAGATATTGAACAGTATACATAATTTAACAGAGTACATAAGAAAAAGAACGAGGGTGTAAAATGAGAAAAAGATTAAAGGATGACTAAATAAACGACGGTCGAGAATTGGCTGCAAATTGAGATAACCAGTGAACCCATTCTCGACGTGTTATAATGCCGCATTAGAGTATATTGTGTGACGATCGAGCAGGATTTACACCCCCATGGAATTACGGCTTAAGGGAGCAAAATTTCCATATTCGTTGGGCGATTGTAAATCGTGTGACTTTGTCTACTCGTTTACGAACTGTGGTCAGAATTGGCTAGCAAACGGCTTAACGCCACACAAAAAGGAACGTGGGGTTCGAGATTAAGCAATGGATTGGAATTAACGGGACTAACTGGCTGGAGGTGTTCTGGGGAAATTATACCAAATGTTTCCCTTTTGGGGATGCGGAATATATGTGCTTTGTATCTTTTGTTGGGAATTTACTAATTTTTTTTATTGCAAGGTTTGCAAATTTTTAGATTTGTAGATTTGTAGGCTTGATAATTTCCTGGAAGTCGTAGGGTAGATCTGAAATTCCCTAGTTTTCATTTTGTGAAATTTTCTAAACTTTTTCATTTGGACAAGTTTGGAATTTAAGAATTGTTATCCCAAAATTCTAAAATTCCATATTCCCCGAATTCCAAATTCCCCGAATTTCAAATTCCCCAAATTCCAAATTCCCCAAATTCCAAATTCCCCAAATTCCAAATTCCCCAAATTCCAAATTCCCCAAATTCCAAATTCCCCAAATTCCAAATTCCCCAAATTCCAAATTCCCCAAATTCCAAATTCCCCAAATTCCAAATTCCCCAAATTCCAAATTCCCCAAATTCCAAATTCCCCAAATTCCAAATTCCCCAAATTCCAAATTCCCCAAATTCCAAATTCCCCAAATTCCAAATTCCCCAAATTCCAAATTCCCCAAATTCCAAATTCCCCAAATTCCAAATTCCCCAAATTCCAAATTCCCCAAATTCCAAATTCCCCAAATTCCAAATTCCCCAAATTCCAAATTCCCCAAATTCCAAATTCCCCAAATTCCAAATTCCCCAAATTCCAAATTCCCCAAATTCCAAATTCCCCAAATTCCAAATTCCCCAAATTCCAAATTCCCCAAATTCCAAATTCCCCAAATTCCAAATTCCCCAAATTCCAAATTCCCCAAATTCCAAATTCCCCAAATTCCAAATTCCCCAAATTCCAAATTCCCCAAATTCCAAATTCCCCAAATTCCAAATTCCCCAAATTCCAAATTCCCCAAATTCCAAGTTCCCCAAATTCCACATTTCCCAAATTCCAAATTCCCCAAATTACCCAAATTCCCCAAATTCCTAAATTTCAAAACCCTAAAATTCCCAAATCTCCCCAAACTTCCCAACTCCTCAATTTCTCCCAACTTTCACAATTTTACGTATTCAAACATACATCAATCGCAATAATCGACCGTGCACGTTTAAATCCAGCAATTAAATCGTCGCTGATTACACGGAAGTCCCCCTAATTTTTCTTTTTCCCTTGTTTCCCATCGAGCTGACGAAGCTTATGCAAACTCTACCGTGGATAATCGTCAAACGATTAGCCGCAAAATAGCAAATCGTCACAGGAAGCGCGTTTCACCTACCTTCACCATTCCTGTCTGACAAAGCGCGTTTTCTCTCTGTTGATCGATGCTGATCGATTGGATATCTACCTCCTCCTTCCTCTTTTTTCGTAACTTTTTTTTTCCACGATTCGTCAGTCGCCCGAGTCGCGTCAATGAAAACGATAGAGACCAACGATATCCGTTTCGCGCGACCCTTTTCACACTTTTTACCAGCGGGATTTAGGGGGATCCTGGGATTATTTGAAACTGGTGAAAGGTGGGAACCTTAATCGATGCCTGATTTGATTTATTTCTTTTGTATGGACGCGTTCGTTTACCGTTTATTGATTATCTGCAGTTTCGAGATTGCAATTGCTATAATACTGAAATTCATTTGTTCATTACTGTATTATTCACTGTATTTTATTACTAACATTGTAACTAGATTAACTATCCTAGATAAAGATCTAGGAGTTTCTTTATCTTATAGTGTTTTAGTTTGAACTATAGCAATTTTAAATATTTTGTGTGTTGAGCTGCTGTTCATAGATTATGTAGAGTAAGATTTATTACTATAATATTTTGTTATATTATCGGTTTTCTAATATTCCTAGGAGATTTGTTACAACACACACCTAAGGGAACTAAAACTTTCTTCTCGTCTCTTTCTCTAATTTCCCTACAACAACCACGAGTATTTTTTCCCTACACATCCCTGGGGTTGGGTTATTTTCCCCTCTTATACATCAAAGGACTTTCACACATTCTATCCCAATTTTCTTACCAAAAACCCTAGAGACCCCGATTTTCCCTAGAGATTCTTCTAGAACACACTAGGGATGAATTCCTACTAATCCCTAGAAAATTCCTAGGGGAGAGAGAAATCCATGTTTAATTCCCTAGTGTCTTCTTTTCCCATGTCTATCATAGAATGTACGGAATCCCTACAGCAACCTTGATACTCTAAAATCCCCAGAAATACACTTTTGCCCTACAAATTCCTAAAGTTCCTAATATTATATATCCATCTAATTAATGTAGCAAACCTAATTATCGAGAAAAAACGGTGAAAAAACCCTTTCCCTAACTTTTTCTTGGCAGACCTCCAAAAGCGGTCACCCATCCCATCATGGGACCGCCACACACTGTCCCTTGACGTCGAAGATCACACGACACTACACATCCTCCGAACCTACCGATGCCTACATTTTATTTTTTATTAATAAACAAGTTTATCTCTCCGTTAAATTTGCAAATATATCATAAAAAATAATGTACTACGCATTTTCGATTTTTCCCATACCACCATTTCTCCAGCAAGTGGGGTACGATTGGGGGGTTCGAAGAGGATTTGCAAAGGGGTTCACCGCGTGCCAGAGTTTCGAGTGTAATTTAATTTGAAATGCAGACTGACACACAACGGCATTTCGGGTTAAACGGATTAAACGAGGACGTGCAACGCGTGCTGAACACCCTTGCAGCTAATTGCGAATCCCTTAATTGCTCGCCGCAGAAAGTATTCCGTTAGGGTTGCGATTTTCCAATGATTCGATGCTTTCAACGTTTTACTGGAGGGCTAAATTATGATGTGTGCTATTCATCCCCTATTATTGATGTATATAATACATTTTCATGTACTGTTCTTACAAATTCCTAAAAATTCATTCATACATTTTTGTCTACGACATTTTTGAATTTTTTTTTCTGTATTTTTATAAATAAATAAATACATTTTTTAATTTATTTCTATAAGCAAATTGGCTATTTATTTTTATAAGCAATTTTTGATGTACTAAGAAAGTTTGGATGTGAAGTTTGCAATGTGAAGTCATTTTAGCAAACCAAAATTTCAGCATTTGTTCAAGTAATCATTTTGAAATCTTGATCTGTGTAATGTAGAGAGTGTATATGTTTTGGTGTATAAATTTTAAATTGAGAGGATGATGAGACTCACCTGTACATGATGTAGCTGCGTAAGCTGATGATGCTGAAGCGGATTTGGCGGAGGCGTACTAGGTGAGCTGACAACCTGAACGGTTCCATGCTGCTGCAGATACGGTTCCAGGAAGACGTCGCTCCTGTAACAAAGAGAAAACGGAGCGTTCTGTTTAGTCACCTTTCGCTAATTAACCGCCCGTTCGAATTTCTACAGACAAATTAGGCAACTTCGAGATGCTTTCACGTGGTTAGCGTGTCAATTAATGCTCTCGACTACAAGCCTTCACAACGAAGCAAATTTTTATGCTAAACATTTATCATTTCACTTATATGACACTTAATTATTTTACAAAACAAATACATTATGCAACAAGAAACATTAACAGGTATTTAATAATAATAATATTTTATGTGTACATTGTAACATTTGCAATTTTTATTACAAATATAGGAGTTCATAGAAATGTAGACAAACATTGTTTATAAAAATATTTACAAATTTTGTAGATATTTAATGTAGTAATATTTCATGTTTACATTGTAAAATTTGCAATTTTTATTATAAATATAGGAGTTTATAGAAATATAGACAAATATTGTTTATAGAAATATTTACAAATTTTGCAGATATTTAATGTAGCAAGAATATTTCATGTTTTCATTGTAACAAGTAACATTTGCAATTTTTATTATGAACACAGGAGTTTATAGAAATATACACAAATATTGTTTATAAAAATATTTACAAATTTTGCAGATATTTAATGTAGCAATATTTCATGTTTACATTGTAACAAGTAACATTTGCAATTTTTATTATAAATATAGGAGTTTATAGAAATATAAACAAATATTATTTATAGAAATATTTACAAATTTTCCAAGGTAATTAATAATTCAAAAACCAGTCACAAATATTTCACAGCACTCTTTTATTATTAATCCCATTCAATAGAAACATAAAACCAAAAATTACAAGTCAACCTTTCTGCCAAATCTCAATTTCCCCTCGAAAATCGCTTTCGAGTATCAAAAGCGTAATAATCAGTGCGTCAAACGAGATTCAAGCAGCTTCGGAAGGCGGGTTTCTTCCGTTTCATTTACCGTGAAAGCGAAACAGCCACGAGAATCGTTTCGAATCATAGGAAGAAGGTCGTGAAGGAAGAAGAGGTACAAAAGTGGTTGGAACCATCCAATTCGGTGTTGTGAAGCTACGCTGTATAGGAGAACCGCTGGTTCTCGTTACCTACGCTCCGTTTCAGAGCACTCTTGTACAGGTAATCGCTTAGAAACTCGCAGATAAATTTTCCGTAGCGTACTGAAGTACCTACTCTACGTAACAGGACAATGTAGCTTTGTAAACAGGGATCTCTACGCTAACTGATGTAATTTCCGTCGGGTTGAGCAGAAATCGCGAGACAAGTTTCAACGTAGGAATTTATATGGCGTGGTTATATACCGGGAGGCCAATTTAGAGGTTAGGTTATTGGCAGACGTCAGGGTTTATTCAAAGAACTTACAGATTATAAATTTCAAACGGTTATTTAATTATTTAGGTAGCTAGTTAAACATTTTTTAAAGTTTTACTTAAATTAGATATTAATAAAAATTCTAAAAACATAAAAATTTCTAAAATTTCCAAATTTGTCAAAGTTCTTAAAATATCAAAAATTTGTAATATTTCAAAGTGCCCCAAACTTCTTAAATTCCCAAAGTTCCTAAAATTCCTCAAATTTCAATAATTTCTAAAATTCCCAAAATTCCTAAAATGTAAAAAATGTCTAAATTTCCCAAAATTCCTAAAATGTAAAAAATTTCTACAATTCCCAAAATTTCTAAAAGAACAAAAATATCTAAATCCCCAAGTTCTCAAATTTCTAAATCCCCATATTGCCAGCAACTAACACGTAGAAACCTGACGTGTAGTTATCTAACATGTAATAATCTAACACGTAGAAACCTAACGTGTAGTTATCTAACATATAATAATCTAACACGTAGAAACTTAACGTGTAGTAATCTAACATGTAATAATCTAACGTGTAGTAATCTAACGCGTAGTAATGCAACGCGTAGAAACCTGACGTGTAGTTATCTAACATGTAATAATCTAACGCGTAGAAACCTAACGTGTAGTTATCAAACGCATGGTAATCTAACGTGTAGCAATCTAACATGTAATAATCTAACGTGTAGTAATCTAACGCGTAGAAACCTTACGTGTAGTAATCCAACGCGTAGAAACCTAAAGTGCAGTTATCTAACGCTTAGTAATTTAACGTACAGTTATCTAACGTGTAGAAATCTAACATTAGACAAGTTAATTTAACGCAGCACAGTATGTTTCAACACAGAATTAGAAACATCCTCATTAGAATAAAAAATGTGCCCAGGGCTTTTTCGTTCGAGGCAGTCGACCTCATCACGAACCAGGTCATAAACAAATTGGTGGAACGCTCGGAAGAATGAAAAAGGAAAACAAAATGGAAGGTTTGTATTCGAGGCGTGCTCGTAAAAAGAGGTCATTAGGGAGACTTTTGGGACTCTAATGAGAGCATTAATTAAGTACAGCGTCGTTTGGATGGGCTTCGGAACGCTTTACACGAGTAAGGATTATCGGTATAATTAGCGGATACTCGAGACATCGTTAATTCAACGTTAATTCCGCGATCTCGTCGCGAATGCTTGATATGCAATTATTTGTACGACTTAATGGCGTCTTGGAGATTACTTTAGATTCTCTGCAATCTTGCACTAAGAAACATTTCGTTTTAATGTTCATTTCGTTTCAAATACTAAATTGTAAGACTTATAATTATTTTTACACAATGAGTTATAATAATTGTAACTCAAAATCATATTAAATTTTAAAGTGTTCAGTTGTGTTAAAATTGTAAAAACAAAGTACCTATTTTAACTTGAAAGCATCAAATGATACGAGACAATAATTATAATTCAATATATTAAATTTTAAAGTGTTCAACTCTATTAAAATTGTAAGAATAAATTGCCAGGGCCCATTTTAACTTGAAAGCATCAAATGGTATTATTTCGAGCAAACTTTGTCGCTATCCCTCGTTGAATATCGAAGCAGAGGGGCGTTGACGTATGCAAAGTTGCTGGCTGCCACCCCCAACCACCCTTGTGTGTTCTGCACTTTATTGTCCTCTGCGTTTGACAGATGAACGGTCTGTCTCGGACCTTGTCTCGACTCTCAGGACCGTATACTACTCTGCTCCATCGATTAAAGCAACTCTCGTGAAATTTGGGAAACATTTTATCCCCTGGTGTCAACTATTCAACTTCCATCTAATTTTGTGCTGCGTTCAAAATTAAATTATTCACAAATTTTAGTCAACGTGGTTATTAATTTTACTGATTTGGTCGTTAGATAAAATTGGGTAATAATTTGGATGTCAAATTTCAATACTACAATATTAATTTTATATGTATACATTTGTATATGTTATTCTATGTATGTGTGTTATTCTACATATGTGTTCAATATATTTGCATGGATATTTCAATGACCATATTTATTATAATTGCTTCTTGATTAATATTCCAACTCACATTGTGTTCTACAAATTCCTTCAGTAATATCCTGCGCTGTAACGTCCTGCGTCATAACGTCCTGCGTCATAAAGTCCGCGTCCCAATGTCCCCAATACCCTTTCAGAACCTCATTCATAAATTTTTAGCAAACGAGACGTCAACAGTGTTCGAACTCGATGACAGCCGACATAAATCATCGTTGAAAAATGTCTCCCTCGAAGCGATATGAGAGACGAATTGTTTCGTCGCGACGTATCGATCGCACTCGGACGTCATTGACTAATTTCGCTGCGCGGATTAATTGACTGCTCGAAGAGTTTTCGCTGGCTCGCACGTGGCGGCTGGTTTCCGGTGTATCGATTTAATTAGACGGGAAACATGCAACCGAATATAAACCCTCGAAAATTGAGAGAGTTCCGTGACCTCTGACCCGCGTCGAGAGCAATGAATCGAATAATGATTCAACGATTTGGGGTACGAATAGGACCCGTGGGGCATGTATCAATTCTTATCATCAGTGTTTGGGGTTCATCGAATTTTTAAGTGGGTTAAGGGTTGTTAAACATACTTTTATTTATTGTTTTATGATAGTATATACTTTATAGATATTTTAGGTAGATACTTTATTATTAGAGTTTGTATGTAGAGTTTTAAGTTGTGGATGGAAATTGTAGATGCAATGCTTTGGATTTAGAATATTAGCTCTTGTAAATTACCCCTTTGTTCTAAATATGTTAACTCTTGAAATGAGTACAATTTATATATCATATTAGGTTAATATTATACTTAATATCATACTTGGTATCATACTTGATATCGTACTTGATATTACACTTAATATCATACATGATATTATACTTGATATTATACTTAATATCATACTTCATATTATACTTGATATTATACTTGATATTATACTTGATATTATACTTGATATTATACTTTATATTACATCTGATAACATATTTCATATTATACTTGATATCATACTTGATATTATACTTAATATCATACTTGATATCATACTTCATATTACACTTAATATCATACTTGATATTACACTTGATATCATACTTCATATTATACTTGATATCATACTTGATATTGTACTTAGTATCATACTTGATATTATATTTAATATCATACTTGATATTATACTTGATATCATACTTCACATTATACTTGATATCATACTTGATATTGTACTTAGTATCATACTTGATATTATATTTAATATCATACTTGATATTATACTTGATATCATACTTCATATTATACTTGATATCATACTTCATATTATACTTGATATCATACTTCACATTATACTTGATATCATACTTGATATTGTACTTAATATCATACTTGATATCATACTTAATATCATACTTTATATCATATTTAATATCATACTTAATATCATACTTTATATCATATTTAATATCATACATAATATCATACTTGATATCATACATAATATCATACTTGATATCATATTTAATATCATACTTAATATCATACTCGACATCATATTTAATATCATACATAATATCATACTTGATATCATATTTAATATCATACATAATAT